ACATAACAGACATGAGTCTATATTTATACCCTACTGCTTCAGATTAGCCCTGCAGAACCTTGAGTTAATCCTGCAGGTACAAAGACACAGAGAGAGAGAGAGATTGTGAGGGAAAGCAGATTTGTTAGCTAGTTAGCTAAAGGAAATTAAACGTGAAGTTAAAGGAAAGCTATAATTCATTATTTTCTTAATCAGCATTTTTGTTGTTTTCCGGTAAAAATATGTATAAACTCTTCAAACAAGATCAAAAGCTAAATGTATAGAGACTGTTTTAATAATTTATTTATTGTTTCATGCTAATATTTCATTATTTCCATAAGTTATTCTTAAGTTTACATTTTAAAACCTGTGAAATCATATGTCCTAACACTGGAAACACAGTTGAAACCAAAACTAAATGTTTATAAATGAGACATAAATTGATATTGATGTGGCATGAGTTTGGTGATGGCATAGCACAGATGTCAAGTGCAGATTGAGGTGAAGAGTTGCCAGCAGTGAGCCACAGAAACCGACAGTAGTGCAAGGGTTGGCGTACAGTTAATAGCTATGTGTGAGAGACATGAAATTCATAACTAAACATTGATCATTGATGCTGATTCATTTTCATATTGCACATGCTAGCTATCAACCAACGGTCTGCTAATGCTGACCTGATGTTTCCCCTTGATTGTAATTTTAGCATACACTTATTGAACACAGCAGTGTAAATGCAGCGCTGTCGATGTCTGCTGATGTGAAGGAAATTTCCGCATTGACTAATGTCACCAGATGTGCCCGTTATAACAGAAATGCTGTTCTTACACAGCGCTGTATGTTTATTTTGGTGAGCCTGGGAAAGAACAAGGAAACTATGAGAGCATTTGATGAGTTTTAATTTCGTAGCCCCCTCACGAAAGCAGAACTGCCATTTTCCACAGTCATAGTTCAGTTTCAGAGCTTGTGGTTTCATTTGGCCTCTGTGGTTTTGAAGGGTGGAGGAAATGGAGGGGAGGTATCAACTTTCTATCACATGACCTGCACCTTCCTGTGCCTTGTTGCATCGTTTGTATGGCCACTCGAGTGAGAATATTCATTTATATCGTTTTGATGGCTCATGCTTCTGTAAGTCTGTCTACATGTCACATGGACAAGTCATTGGTTTGGTTGCTGAATGCATCAAAGGTGAAAATGAAAATAGCTGAGCTCTGATGCTCATCTTTGATTGATTTATTGACAGAGTTTGATTTCAGCTTGTATATATATATATATATATTTCAGCTTAATTTCAAATACCACTGTTTAATACAATAAACACTATTGTGCGTGTGTGTGTGTGTGTGTATAAAATAAAACTAAATAAAACTAAATATATATATATATATATATATATATATACAAAATATTAATATACTATAACACTACACTCTAAAAAATGCTGGGTTAAATACAACCCAGTGCTGGGTAAA